TGCTCTTAGCCTTTTACTCCAGATACTTCAACGTATCATTAATGGTACATAAATCCATTTGTTAAAAAAGTATATCTGAGTCACAGGAAAGTTGTCCCTGTTTATGAATACTATCAGTGCAATATATTTTCATAACGTCGGTTTGACAAAATACCTTAATACACTTTTCTTCGAACTGTGGTAACATGGTAACATAACGCATCTTTTAAAAATGCAGCTAAATCGACTTCGGTTGATGTTGTTGTTGTTAATATTTCAAAGTTTTTCCATTCCTCCTCAATTAAAAAAAAAAACAAATGGCTCATGACCTCATTAAAAAAATGCAACTTACGGTAGAATATTTCATTTTATAGTTTGTAAAAGGCGATTGAGGCATGGAAAAGGGCTATGTTTAATGTCAGCTCAGAAAGTGATGTCAAAAATCCTCTATGTTTTGTGACCAATAAGATACGTGTATATCATGTATATACCCCCCCCCCCTCAAAAAAATAAATTACATGTAATAAATAACTAAAAGACGAAGTGATGGACTGGACAACTTGATAGTTTTATTACCTTTGAGCATAAAGATTGTTAATCAAAATTAAGAACAAACAGGGGTTGCAGTCGATTGACAAATCCCTAGCCGTTGTTATTTGTAGAAAATGTTATTACTCTTTATGTATAGGTCTAATTGGCCCCGGAACCCGATCCTCGCTGTAAAGAAGAGAAAGAAAGAAAGAAAGAAAGAAAGAAAGAAAGAAAGAAAGAAAGATGAAAGAAAGAAAGAAAGAAAGAAAGAAAGAAAGAAAGAAAGAAAGAAAGTAGAATAAAAAAGAAAATATAAATATCAGACAACAGGGAGAGTGCACAGTATTTAAAGCCAGTACGCACACGTTATCTCAATATATTAAAGAATAATTAAATATATTATGTGGGAAAGATTTACTTAAAGAAGATATGTGTTATACAGACTCAAAACAGTTAGGAATGAGAGTTAAAAAGTGTTTGAAGAAACTACAAGAGTATTCCACAAAGCTTCAAGACCAGTCTGTAAAGTTAACTGCAATCGTCGGGGAAGAACAACAAGAATTTATTGAAGCATTGTAAGAGAAACTTGCGAAATATGTAATGAATCATTTGACAAATGTTGTTCTCTGTAGCAGCTTGAGCAGGAAGCATTGGATTCGACAAAGGTCAGAAGTCAAAAACAGTAAGAGCAAATGAAGATGACATCCGCGCAAGCAGATATGCAGAAAATGTTTGAACTCCAAATGAAATTACAAGAACAATATTTTGAAAGACAGGCCGAAATGAAGTATGGGCAATCAGCCTGTTTTAAACTACCAAAACTAGACATTAAGCCATTGAATGAAAATAAGCTTAAATGAACAAAATTTTGGGAGTCGTAAGTCCACAACAATAGCAATATTTCAAAAATTGAAAAATTCAATTATTTAAGAAACAAGCTTACAGGTGAAGCACGGAGTTCAATAGAAGAACTGACCTTATTAAATGACAATTATAAAGTGGCACTAAAGATTTTACAAATAAACAAGAAATTATTGATTTACACTACAACGCTTTAATGGATTTACCTCCCGCATAAATCAACACCTACAGTTTATGGACTTTTATTGACAAAATAGAAATACATAAACGCAGTCTGGAAGTTCTAGAAGAAAGTCTTTGTTTCCATGAGCAGTAAAAAAATGCCCCAAGAAAACTTTTACAAACGGAATTTTTGAAGGAAACAAAATATGAATGGACCGTGCATTGGTTGTGCGTGAAAGTATTCATTTGGCAGAGGAAGATATTCATTCAACAACAAAGCATGAATAAACAGATGCAGGTCAGATTGAAAATGTTATATTGACAGTGAAAGAAACAGTGTTAATGCAAACAGCACAAACATAGTCGAAACAACAAAACAACAAAGATAGTGTTAAGACAAGGTTGCTTCTTGATTGTGGATCACAAAGGGCCTACCTTACACAACAGTTGACAAACAATCTGGGACTTGGACATAAAAATGATCAGAAAATAAGAGTAGTAACTTTTGCAAGGGATAAAACCAAAGCAATTAAAACTAAAACTACAAAGGTTGATGTGAAACTCAGCGATGGAACATATATATATGACTAATAATATATAGTTCCAAGAATTACAGCCACAATATAACGACAACCGGTAACAGTATCTGATAAACAGCACTTTAGAGATCTAACACAATACATAATACTCGTAGATTCAGTACCGACATATGATGAATCAGACACAGTGACTTAAATTACTTATTGGTTATGACTTCTGTCTTGATTTTGTGTTACACGAAAAGATCAAGGTTCAGCAAGGACTTTACATTCTAGCATCTAAATTAAGCTGGATTCTTACAGGGCGCTGAGAGACAGGCGACTTAACCCAATCTTCAGTATGTAAAATCTTATTTATTATTGAAAATGAAATTGTTTATAACATTTGTATGTTATTTTATGTTTGTTGTATAATTGTTGTAAATACATGTTTTTGTTTAGGCGATTATCTCCTTTTGTTATTATTTGAAAAGAGATCATGATTATTAGACGCCGCGAGCACGCGACGTCTAGTAGATATGCAGTTGTCCATATAGCAATGGGGAAAATTTTCGACTTGATTTTGTGTATTTTGTTTTTTGTTTTTTTTTTTTGTTTTTTTTTTAACAAAAAAAAATTGTTTTCAAATTTTCTAATAAAAACAGCTTTTCTAATGTACAACATGTCACAGACCTTCAAGGGATCAGAATAAACGTTTAACTGAAGTGCTATTGCCATGTTTGAATATCATATTCGTTTTATCATTATCTAATTTTATCGACATAAAAAATAACGTGCCAATGAGCCAGTCTATAGTCGATCGTTCAAAGACTTAACCGTTGAGAGAGGTTACGACTGAGGCAGTGTCACTCACTTCATTTGTTGAAGTTCGGCTACGCCTTAAATTGTCGCCAAGTTTGATGCTACGTATGCTAGCATTTAGTCTTCGTTGACGGGGCGGAAAGGTCAACTTTGATCAATATCACCAAGTCTTGTCGAATCATTAAAGCCTAAACCAAGGCCACTATCATAAAGGCGGTATTCCCTCAATCGTTAAGAAAGTATGCAAAGCTCTGCGCACAGGTTACGCTACGGTCAGTAAGGGGAGATCACTGCAGAACAGTTCGTCCTCAAAATCATTCAAGCATTATGCAATGCGCACCAATATTTAAATGGATATATTCTAGGCACATATTGTCTTGAATTTATTTTAAGTATACCAATCATTTCAATTTTACTTGTAATCTTCGACCAGACGTTTCAATTTTTGTCGCAACAGACAAAAATATCAGAATTTCAGATATGGCATTACTTTGTGAATTTATGCATAAGGTTCTACTTTTTCACAAAAAATAGCATCTTAATTAATAAACAACCATCACAAACCAAGAAAATGGAGAAAAATTGATTTGTGCATCGGATATTTCACTGTAATAGAGAACGATTTGCAATGCTGATTGATTGTTCACATCATTCGGCGGCGTCTTTGATGTGCAGCATGAACATTTAATTTGTAAATGCATTGATAAATAGCGTTTAGGTTTTCATTCATAGCGGTATATGGTTAAAGGATTTGTATTTATAATCAATGATCTATAACGTTTATAATTATCAGGATACTGCAACAAATGATTGTTCTCTTGATTCTACTGTATTCTAGTAGTTTAGAATGTACAAGTATCTTTCATCTAAAATAATAAATGATAATATATAATGCTAGATTTTTGCCAATGTGATTATTCTAAAAGGTAATTTAAGTATTCTGAAAAGTATTCTAAAAGTATTCTAAAAACTTGATATAGAAATGTATTTAAAAGTGTGTAAAATGTTGATGATTGTAAAGTTTAGTTAAAGGTGAAAGAGGATAAAGTTAAAAGTGAAACAAGAAAACTGGATTGTTATGCTTAGTTGAAGACATTGATAAAATTATTACGTGAAATGGATCATAGTCCAGTGTGATGATTTAGAACCAGGATTTACAAAATACATAATTTGCTCTCCCACAGCAGAAACTAAAGGAAACCTATAAAAGATCACCACGCACGGACGCACGGATACATGCGCGGACAAGTGACATTACAATATTTCTAATCTGATGATAATTATATTGACAGTGTAAATTTGAAAGAGAGCTGTTAGGGCTTTTATCACATAAACCGAGGCGCAGGAGTGTAATAAAGCCATGTAATAAAAACGATATTACACTAGTGTAATTATACTTTGACATGACGTCATTTGCGCTATATAGAAACATAGCGTTAAAAAGCGCTAATGTTAGCGTTACACTGTAGGCGCGTGATTAAAAAATTACTCATTTTAACAGTTTACTGGTCATATTTTATATATGTTATAAATAGAATATTATATTCGTGTAGATTCAATACTAAATTTATTGAACAGAGGCTCGCATAATATGATTTTATTCAACGCGTTCAATAAATTCAGTATTAAACTACACTCATTTAATTTCCTCTATTTATTATTTAGGTTGGGGTTTTTATTCTATATAGGGGGTCACTATTCTATGTTAGGGTAATTTTCTACGTGTAGGGGAGTAATAATATTATGAATCCAGGCTCATAATATTATGACCGGAGATTATTATATTATATTAAGTATTGACCGGGGGTCTTTGTAATAGGGACCAGTTAACAACGTTACACCGGTTAAAATTTATTTCTACTGCGCCGCGCCTGACCAATTTAATTTTGTAAAAACGTACTAATACACTTTAACCTATACATAAAGATCGATATAGGCGACATTAATGTATTGTACCAGAACTCAACGATAAGGTCTCAACCAATATTTTAGCAATGAGAAATGTGAATTGTTCTTATTTTTAAAGCTGAATGAAGTTCCTAACCCCGTGGTATACGCCTGTGCTATCTATTGAATTTCATATGTACTTTTGTAGATCTATATGTCAAGTTGTCAGCCATATTTTTTCGAAAAAAGAAAATCTGATAGTATGTATAGTAGTGACCTACATTTCAAATAAGATCGATAAAAATATGAGATTTAACGTGAAAGTCTTTTTTAATAGAGGATCACCTGGTTATTAAAATGTAAGTGCTTTTTTAGAATAAGAATCAAATCATTAATGTTGTATTTGATTAATTGATAATCAAGATTAATTTGATAAATTACATAATGAAGATAATATCTTATATTATCCATATTTTATTGGAGCTGATTCACGTCATGTCGTATTTTCGCTTTTTCGCCTCAAAATGCATTTTGACGCGAAGACAGTCTAAAAAGTAAATATTTATTTACTAAATGTGAAAATACGTCATGGCGTAAATCATGATAGATCTGTTTACTTATATTTCATGCACTCAAGACAATGCTGTAATTACTTACATTCTCAAAATAGATAGAAGGTTTTTGTGATTTTGTAGATTTCACCTTATCATTTAAAAAAAAAAAAAAAAAAAAAAACATTTTATAAGTGAAAAAAAAATATTTGTAAAACATCATTGGGCGTTGCATATACATGTACATGTATACTGTCCAAGCCACGCACCGACTGCCTTTCTTTCATACCAAAATGCATCAAAATTCCATGCACAAATTTTGTACATATTGAGGGTATTTAAAAATGTAGCCACTGATTTAAATGATAACCGTCTGATAAACTATGTAAACAGTATAGTTTTAACCTTAACAAAATGAAGTACAATACTTATTGATTAACCTTGATAGTAAATTGACTGTGTATTATAAAGATGTATGAAATTTAGTACCGTAGTAAAAACATAAATCTGTAAAATAATTAACTACCATATTAAGTCTAAAACGAAGATTTATAAAAGATATTAAAGTCATTCCTGCCAGACTGAGGGTTGTCGTCCTTACCCCAGTTGGGCTTACTAAGATGTATGAAATTTAGTACCGTAGTAAAAACATAAATCTGTAAAATAATTAACTACCATATTAAGTCTAAAACGAAGATTTATAAAAGATATTAAAGTCATTCCTGCCAGACTGAGGGTTGTCGTCCTTGCCCCAGTTGGGCTTACTTTTTTCTTACACTTTCTTTCATTATACAGTATTTTTATATTTTTAGGTTCTTTTTAGAAAGAAATAAAATTGTGTCATGTTAAGAATGTAATTACTTTACGTTATTTATTGACTAAAGAAGGCTAAATTTGATAAAAATGTGGAAGATTCTACCTACAATTTCAAAGTCTGATAAAATCAAAACTTAAAAAAACGTAGGTCAAATTTGAGCAAACTTTGAAAACAGCTTCTTAATGTAGTAGATTTTTTCGATATTTTCAATTAAATACTCTAAGCAGGAAAATGATTTAACAAGTGTTTAACGGGTTGGGAAGGGTATCATTTTTATTCTGTCTAAATCAATCATTAAGCGTGTGTGATGTCTTAGCTGTTTCTAAAGCAATCAAGTTTCAAATGGCTGATAATAAAAGTTCCTAAAAAGACTACTAGTATATAAAGTTTTGTACAGAAAAGTATTTACAAGTCCAAAGCCGTACAGTAAATTTTGTTAATATTTTGAAAACAGGTGTCTTGCAACACATATTTTGTTAATTTTTCAGTTTCTGAAAGTGCCAACAGGTGTTAAGGACCATAACTGTTGACAGATGGCAACAGCAAAAGAGGACGAAGATACGATGGCAGATGCAAATGAAGACGGAAATCTGGGCCAAGCATTAGAGTTCTTTTGTGGTCCTTGTAAGAACAATGGTGAACATGAAGTTCCAGTCAGTTATTGTGAAGAATGTAATGAATATCTGTGCAAGCATTGCAACAAAGCCCATAGAGGATTGGCTGCTACAAGAAACCATGTGGTTAAAGAAAAGGATGGACTCCTTGCACAACCTGTTGTGAAAAACTGTTCAATAGAATTTTCTGAAAAATGTACAGCACATCCAAGTCAGGTTATTGTTCATTACTGTGTATCACACAATGAGTTTTGTTGTTCGCAATGCCTATATCTGGGCCACAAAGTCTGCAAAGATGTCAAAAGTGTCACTGATTATTTCAACGATTTTGACGTGCATCAAGAAGAGAACAAGTTAAAATGCAAAATGCGTACACTTTCTGATGAAGTTTCCAAAACGATGAATAAAGTTCAGAGAAGCATAAAGGCTATAGAAAATCTTCACCAAGGAGCTCAGACACAAATGCTAGAAACTAAACGCATGGCTATTGATCACATTGAACACCTATATAGTTCACTTAGTAGGAAACTTAATAAGATGAGAGAAGAAGACATGAACAAGATTGTTCCGTATAGACACAAATGCAACGCCATTTTGTTTGATATGAACACATTGGAATCTTACTTCAACGAAAAGACTAAGTATAGTAAGAACCAACTGTGTTTTGCTATTAAGAAAGCTGATGCAAAGGTAGACATAAATTTCCATGAACTGGTAGAAGTAGACTGTGGCGAACATTTGAATTTTACGAGGTACAAGTTCATACCTCAGGAAGCCATAAAAAACCTACCAAGACAATCAAGCTCTTTCGGATCACTTAATATTCAGAATAATGCAATTAAGTCTGCTGTAAACATAAAAAGTTTGCACACCAAAGATGTGAAAGACAGCAAGAACTGCTGCATTACAGGGCTTGCTTTGATAGCAGATAGCAAAATTGTTCTGACCGACTTTAGCAATTCATCCGTGAAGCTTATTGATACCCATGAAGATAAAGTGATATCAAAATTGAAGGTTGAGTCAGCACCATGGGATGTCACTTGTGTGTCCAGCAATAAAGTAGCTGTTACTGTCCCAGGAAAGAAAATCATTGAATTGTTAACGATCGACGAATGTTCAAAGTTTGAACATGAACAAAGCATTACATGTGCAGGCAAGTGCTACGGGATAACAAAGAGTAAAGACAAACTGTTAGTTATTGTCATTGAAAATAATGGTAGAGCTAAATTACAGGGATACGAATCAGATGGTACAATTCTCTTATCAGTTAAAATTAATGTCGAGAATCCGAAATATGTTGTATGTGATGATGGTCGTTCAAGGATATATATCTCCGATAATTCTGAATGGCCGGTCATCTCAGAACTCTCAAGTGAGAACTTCAGAAAATTAGGCGAATTGACGTCATGTAACGATGGAGTTTTTGGAATGGAAATAGACAATACTGGGATTTTGTACTATTGTGATTCGAACGATAATGAAATAGATGTAGTCAAATTAGACGAAAAAGGAGGAAATGAAAGGAAAATACAAAGTCTCATTTCAGATATAAAGCCTAAACTTAATTGTTTAGCATTCTGTTATGAGACCAGTCGTCTTTTTGTCGGGTTAGATGGAAATGAAATAAAGGTTTATGCAGTGTTTTAAATATATGCACTTGTGTTCTGGTTAAATAGAGAAAAACAGAATCCATAAAAACACACCCCAAACGACTAAATTGAAAATGTTGCACGATCGGTTTAATTGAACCTGTTCATAGGCGGAAATGGGAAGTGCTACCTACCGTCCACGCGCCTAGCACCGGCTGAAGCATTAAAGTTTGAAATATTTTTGTGTTAGTAACTAAAAAAGGAGACAAGAGGATAAAAATATGTAGATTAACGTACGTTCAACGGATTAGTTATTTAACAATTGAAGTCAGTATACAGTATGAACATGTGTTAGTGCATATGCAATTAAAACAAATTACTTAATGAGTAAATAATGCGTATACGTTAAATTAAGGTATCTCCCTTATATATATAAGTAATATGTATATGAAGAATAACTATTACTTTCATGTAAATATGCACATCACATGCTTAAATATAGAAGCAATTGTAATTGAAGAATACACGTACATGTTTTTACTCGAGGAATGTATTTAGTAGAGCTACTGGAATACAGTTTAACTGAACATAGGTTCTGTTTTTACACAACATATAACAGTATAACCTGAATTTCTAAGGGAAAACATTTAATACGAAGAATTAAGATAAACTTTTCAAGTTTAACATAGAAATATGTATTATCTTCCGACTATTAAGCAAGTGAACATTATTTTATTACCTTTCCAGATTTTTTCAGCCTTTTTGATTGGATATTGATCACCCGAAAGAAATTGATATAACCGAGCCAGACGGTTAATATACACACTAAATTTCCCCGTTGGGTACCCAACGTTGTAAACAACATGCGCTGAGGTGATGCGCGTACGGTTCGATTTTACGCGGTGTAAATTCCGATTTACAAGCACTTTTTAACTGTCAAATGATAAATATTTACCAAAGTAGAGTAATGATACATATTACCATCAGTATTGAAAACAAATATGACCTTGTGAAAGCTTGATATTAATTACAAAAAAGTGCGTTCAATAGACTACTCCTTTTCTCTTGTTTACATTCGTCAGGTACGGGAAAAATACGTCATGTATTTATGTGACGTCATGTTGTGACGAAGAGGTACCCTAAAGGGAATCTTATTTCGACGTTTCATTTGAAACAGCAATGATTTTTTAAAAAATCGTCTAAACTCGGCAGGGGAAGGGTAATAAAATTATTATTTTGGTTTTGGAGTGATATATGTGGATATATTACCTGCCAAGATAAAATATCACCCTCGCCTAACGGCTCGGGTGATATAAAATCTTAGCAGGTAATGTATCCACATATATCACTCCAAAACCAAAATAACATATAACATTGTGGCCAGTATAATCAAGTTGACGTTTGTGATTGATAACAAAACAATAAAAGGATGACATGATGACTACAAGCTGAAACGTATCCAAAACGTAAGAGGTCCCATTGCTTCTCTTATAACACAAACCATCTGTAAGTTGGAAGCGACATACCAATGATATGGTATACTACGAGAATTGATCTAGACATATACATTCTCGATATGCTGAAAATCAAATGTTCAGATTCCCCCAGAAAAATAGTTTGTCTGACACTATCATAATGTATTATTTACCAGAAATATATCCGTATACTAGTATTAATCATATCTTCAATAAAAAGACAAGAATATTGCCTATTCCATGTTAAAGAAACACCGCTCATCCATAAAATATTTAAAAAGACAGTTTCTGACTACTTTCGATTCCTTCCTATGTATTTTTATGCCCCCGCCATGTAATGGCCGGGGCATATAGTGTTACCCTGTTCCGTCCTTCCGTCATTCCGTCCTTCCTTCATTCCGTCATTCTGTCATTCCGTCATCATCAGTTTCCGTTCATTATCTTAGAAACTTTTGCACATATTCAACTCAAATTTGACATATGGATATGTCATGAGAAAATGCAGGTCAAGTTCGAATTTGGTCATGGTTCAATGATTTTTTGCAGAGTTATGCCCCTTTTTCTTTGAAAATAATGTGAAATTTTCAGTTTCCGTTCATTATCTTCCCAACGGTAGAACACATTCAATTTAAATTTGACATATGGATATGTCATGAGAAAATACAGGTCAAGTTCGAATTTGGTCATGGTTCGATGATTTTTGGCAGAGTTATGCCCCTTTTACTTTGAAAATAATATGAAATTTTCAGTTTCCGTTCATTATCTCCATAACGGTACAACACATTCAACTCAAATTTGACATGTGGGTATGTCATGAGAAAATACAGGTCTAGTTCGAATTTGGTCATGGTTCGATGATTTTTGGCAGTGTTATGCCCCTTTTACTTTGAAAATAATATGAAATTTTCAGTTTCCGTTCATTATCTCCCCAACGGTACAACACATTCAACTCAAATTTGACATATGGATATGTTATGAGAAAATACAGGTCAAGTTTGAATTTGGACATGGTTTGATGATTTTTGGCAGAGTTATGCTCCTTTTACTTTGAAAATAATATGAAATTTTCAGTTTCTGTTTATTATCTCCCCAACAGTACAACACATTCAACTCAAATTTGACATATGGATATGTTTTTGGAATGCCCAGGCCAAGTTCGAATTTGGTCATGGTTCAATGATATTTGGCGGAGTAATGCACCTTTCACTTTGAAAATAATATGAAATTTACAGTTTCTGTTCATTATCTTCCCAACAGCGTTACATATTCAACTCAAATTTGGCATATGGGTATGTCAAAGGAATGTGCAGGTCAAGTTGGAATTTGGTCATGGTTCGATGATTTTTAGGCAGAGTTATGTCCCTTTCACTTTGAAAATAATATAGATCATCTTAGGAATAAGCAGTTTAAGTTTGAATTTGGTCGTGGTTCAATGATTTTGGACAAACTTATCTTTCTTAAATATTGGACAAATTTTAAACTTTCAGTTTCAGCACTCTTACTTTTTTGGAAATGTATGTAGCCATTATTTTGGCTACAAATATGAAATATGCTATTTTCAAAAGGTTTAGACTGAATAATTTCAGTGTCTTGAACATTGTATGAAAATGGTTTGTGTTAACATTGAAAAGTTTTAAGGGCTTTGAACTTAAAATGAAAACAATAATTTGTGCAAATAAATTTGGAACTAAATATTATAACATCTGAAATTTTGGCTGCATGCGGGGGCATCCGTGGCATGATGACACATTTCTAGTTTCTTATATCTTCTTTTCTATCCAGGGTTCCACATCATGTGGAGCAAGGACAGATAACGACAATCATGTCACCATTTATGAGAATGAAACTCGTTGAATGCTCCATAATGAAAACTGTTAGATTGACATCTTTCATTAATATGGAAGGGGGGTCAACACATCTAAACATCAGGTCGGTTGTATTTATTTTAACTTTGTCTACCAGTTTCGGATAACAATAGTTCATAAATTTATCATTTTAACTTGAATAAAAGTCACAGCTAAGGTACATAAAAAAGACAGTAAACTTTTAGTTCAATGTTAATAAAAATAAAAATTTCGTTCATGTTCTAAGATAAATTGTCCGACTCCATCTTGCAGTAAGGTTGTGTTGCTGTCTGATATTTTGTATGATTCATAGATTGGTCGGATAAGTTCAGGTATATCAAATTGGAAAATGTTTTCATCTGTTCTTGGTTTTCATATACGTTTTTCTTATTGTGCCACTCTGTACATAAATATTCCATTTAATTTTGTTTAAAATAGACTTTAAGTATGATCCTTTCTTTAGGATTTTATTTCTTGCGTTTTTCTATTGCTAATTTTAGTATCTTGCTACCACGATGATGTACGTCTATTTTTTCAAAATATTTATTCGATTGTATATTGCTAGTGCTTTTTAATGACATAAAAATATTTAGTATCTTCCACAGGGGTAAGACGCTTTCATCTGATATTATCACCTACCGCTACCCCCTCCCCCTAAAAAAAATAGAATGAAAATTATGTATGATAGGCTCATATAAATGTTGTTATGAATACTAAATGTGGAAATTGACTTTAAATAATATTTTTGGGGGTTTAACTGGGACTGGGGGCGGATAATAGGGGGTAATAAAGCGTCTTATCTCAGGTAGGATAATATTTTTAGTGCTTTTGATTTGAGGTAGAAATCAGCATATTCAGAGACTTTTTCACGAGGGACTTCGTGAGTTATTTTTTTTTTTGTGAATTTTAGGAAACATATAAAATGACGATGCTCTTCTTTTTGAGCAAATAATTCAATGTGATTATAAGGTAAAAGTTGTATCTTAAAAATGTATTAATTTCTTTGGATACATTATCAGTTTAGTGTGTTCAAATATTGGTAGACATACTTAATTCTACATAGTTAAATGATAACTGATTATATGTATTTCCATGCTCTTTTCAAATAATGTAACCGCCCGACATTATAAAGGCCATGAACATGCAATTGTTCAAATGCTGAATAAATATATAAATTGAATTGATATACATAATGTATTAGTTAATTTACGTGGCACTTCACAATAAAATGTTTGATTGTTTAATGTCATGTTTGTTTAGAATAACTATTGCCCGTTTTTGTGCCCCCACTTTAGTGGAGGGGCGAGGGGGCATTTAGATTTACTATTTCCGTTCGTCCGTCCATCATTCGTCCGTTCTCATTTTGTGTCGCACGTAGCTGATATTATTTGACCTAGTGTCATGAAACTTTACAGGAATATAAACCAGTATGTGTGGTTGTGCTCTGGGTATTTTCGTGTAGATATTTTTGTATTTTAAGAGTTATTGCCCTTGACTTAGTAAAAATCTGATGTTTTCAACGTGTGTCGCACGTAACTCAAATAGTATTTGATCTAGAGTCATGAAACCTTACAGGAACGTTGCTCAGCGAATGAAGTTGTGCACCTGGGTACTTTTGTGTGGATATATTTAGTGTTTTTAGAGTTATTGCCCTTGACTTAGTAAACATTTACAATATTCAACTTGTGTCGCACGTAACTCAAAAAGTTTTTGATCTATAGTCATGAAACCTTACAGGAATGTTGCTCAGCATGTGGAGTTGTGCACCTGCGTATATTTGTGTTTATACATTAAGTGTTTTTAGAGTAATTGCCCTTGACTAAGGAAAAATCTGCAATTTTCAACTTCTGTCGCACGTAACTCAAAATGTATTTGATCTTGAGTCAGGAAACCTTACAGGAAAGTTGCTTAGCATGTGAAAGTGTGCACCTGGGTATTTTCGTGTGGATATATATAGTGTTTTAGAGTTATTGCCCTTGATTTAGTAAATATTTACAATTTTCAACTTGTGTTGCACGTAACTCAAAAAGTATTTGATCTATAGTCATGAAACCTTACAGGAATGTTGCTCAGCATGTGGAGATGTGCACCTGCGTATATTTGTGTTTATACATTAAGTGTTTTTAGAGTAATTGCCCTTGACTTAGTAAAAATCTGCAATTTTCCATTTGTATCGCACGTAACTCAAAAAGTATTTTATCTAGAAACATAGAACCTTACAAGAGTGTTGCACAGCATGTGAAGTTGTGCAACGGGCTAATTAATTTCGTGTGGATTTATTTAGTATTTTTAGAATTTTTCCCCTACACTTAATAAAAATTTGCAATTTTCAACTTGTGTCGCATGTAGCTCAAAATGTATTTGCTCTAAGGTCATGAAACTTTATAAGAATGTTGCTCAGCATGTGAGGTTGTGCACCT